AGCCTCCCACACCCTTAGTCTGCAATATTTCCCCTACAATCCCATTGAATGTTCACTATGCAAGTTTAGGCATCACAGAGTGTCTGACTGCCTATTAGAGTTATGTGGGTCACACGGCAGCCCACTGCTCCCCGATGACTGATCTGGGGCTCCACCCATTTTTCTATTCACACCAGTCAGGGAAAAGGAAACGTTTATGCTAAAGGTTGTAAGATAGGGGAAAGAGAAAGTTTGTGGTTATGAGTGAGTGCAAAACCAGCTGCTGATAATGCAGTCATCTGTGGACAGGAATCCCCTTTTGATATGGATCATATCTTGAGGCTTTCTGTACCAAATTTCAATATAGTACCAGCTTCAACTCAATATTATCCTGTAGCTAAACAAGTAGAACATGGTGCTATCAATGCAGATGTCGTGGGTTTGAATCTGAGGAACATAAAAATTGTAACTCTCCCCTCTAGTGTCAGGTGCTTGTGATAAACTTGTGAGGTACATGTAAATGCCAACTCCAGATGGGTAACTATCTAGCTGAGATGGTGTGATGAGTAACGATGCGTCTGAGAAACAGAGACACCCTGCATGAGCGCATTGTTGTATAATGTCTGAGCACAATGGCTCCAGTGACAGTTGTTATTTCAACACCACCCACTTTCTAACCGCTTACCCTGGTGAGGGTCATATGTGGTCCAGGTGACATAGCACAATTTAGGGGGACTAACTAGTGTGAGCAGACCCCTGGGAGAATGTGAATCCCCAGGTCTGGAGATACATGACTACATGCAATTGGGGCCTTGATGGAATGTCCTTGCTGGGCTACTGCAAAACAAGATTCTGCTGAAGATCAAGAAGGTGCCTTTAATGCCGTTTCTGGATGCAAGAAAATTGATTCCATGTATAAATAGGAAGAGCGGGAACTAAGTATTATATTCTTGCTGTAACATTAGACATAAAAACAGGCAAAGCCCGTTGAGTTTGCAATACACTTATGGTGACTTTCTGCTGCCACCAAGATCCGAGCCAAACCGAGCCACACCCAAGCTGTACCGCGCACAGATGGTTTTTCATTGTAACATGTCCGACCCTTTCCTGCATTGGCATGGCCCTGGGCTGAAAGTGTGGCTAAAGCCAGCTGGTTGCATCACTGTCCTTTGATTGCGTCAATATGCATGGATTTTCTGAAGGGAAAAAGCGTATTTTCTATATATCACTCATTATTAGTAATATCGCGAATGGCAATGTATTGATGCCAATAATTCGGAACTTGGAAATTTCCAATCTCCTACTTTGAAAAAGCCTGTAGGGTGGCAGAATGGAATGGAGTCATAATGCAAATCTATGCAAGTGAACACTAAATCCGCTAGCGTTCGATGCTAACATAACATGGCGATTCTCACAGACGTGCTGATGGAGATTAGCACATAGTAAATCATGATGTACACTGTGTGAGCAGTAAATAAGTGTCTCCTTGGCTGTACATCACTGTCACTCGCCAAACCTGGGAAAATCTGGAACCGCGCTGAAACTATTGTCTTTGCAGTATGGGTCGGGTATGGCCTGGTTCCTGCATGCCAGTAGAAAAGAGCTATTAGATCACACAGTTCCTGCAGAAGGCTGGTATGCCCATGTATTACAATGTGAGATACTAATGGTTTGACAGGAAGGACAACTGAAATTCAGATCTTTACATTTTAGGGACCACAATACATGCTAAAATTGGTTCAAATCCCATGCTTTCTAGCAAAGCCTCCTCTCTGTTGGGCTGCATTATTGAGTGAGGTCCTTTGACCCCCTGAAAATTAGGATGGGATTTAAGAAAATATCACGTTACAATGCACCTGTTTTCATACTTGTCCAAATGGCAAACAGCATAATTCCATTTTCAAAACACCTGTAATCACACTGTAATGTATCTCTTTCTTTTTTACTCTAAATAGTTACTATCTCCATTTCAAACTGAAGTGAGTGGTTGGAGTGTTTAAACCTTCTGGAGAAACACAGATGCAGGCCTTCATCGTACCAGAGTAACAATTACAGAGTAACAATTAACCTCTAGTTGAACACTGGATGATGAGATGAAATAAATTACTTTCCCCAACTGATAGGTAGCTAAGAACAAGGCTTGGAATGGAACAAGATGCATTTTAGCACAGAAGTTATTTTGTTCTCAGAAGAGGTGCAGAGATGTTTATCGAATGTGTTTATCGAATGTGAATCTAAAGCCAGTGAAGAACCTTATTAAGCTTTTAATTTTACATATTTTAGATGCTTTTTCACTTCTGCTTTTTAAAAACATTTTTAAAAAGACTATGATCTTTTGCCACTAGTTTTTGTCCGACCATTTTTGATGCTTTATTATTATCTTATTATTTAGTTGGTATCATCTTTTTTCGGCATGAAATAGGTATTGTTACCAGCAGCCCTGCAACATGTAATTTGCATAACAACACAAAAACCAGCAAAATGGGCATATGGGATTCTCTTTATATGTAAACACGTATAGTAACATTTCACCAAAATGATTCCTTTCATTATGAAACAGGGATGGGTAATCCAAGCACTAACAGCCAAAATGAATTACAGGGAACATGTAGTATGAAAAACATTTTTGTAAGTAGACATCATTTGACATTCTTTTCTTTGAATACATTGTCCAAGTGGAAGCATGACATAATTCATGGATATCAGGCTCGTTACAAAGTATTCCTGTATGCTTTATGGTTTTTATACATTCAAGCAGCAGCATGAAAGGGAAAGCCTTTGAAGGGTTTGCCAGATCAGCTACCTCCACTCTGGTATTACCTTGTTAGGAAATGTAGCACTGAAACCGCCCATGGGTCGGGCTGAAGGGGTGGGGCACATGGAGAACGAGAGGCGTGGCTTTCACCTGCACAAGCTTGGGAGAAAGAGGTAGCTAGAGAGAATAACACCTCCTGAGCCTTCTTGTCAAACATCATGTGCCTCAACAAGCAGCATGAGATGCCCCACCTTGTTTGAAGCCACTGACATGAATTATGCTTCTGCCAGTTATATTTATGACCATGTTTGTTTGTCCTCATGTTGCACTGTCTTGTCCTGTGTTGCGCCGAAGTTTGTTTTATTCCGCCATATGTCCTTCGCCACCTCCTGCAAATGCAGCACAGGAATTTCTCTATATTTTCCAAACACACGCAACAAGAAATCCTCACTGACCTTAATTCCTTCAATTATTTTTACGGTTTTATTTCTTTATGATTGCTTTCTTTGCCATAAACGATGGCATTGGTCGTGAGGTCCGTTACAAAGCTAGGTTTCAGGACTTCTCATTTTGCAGGTAGCCGCAGAAAGCCTGTAGGGTAGTAGTTGCCAGTGAGGCTTCTTTGACGAAGGGGTTACTTTTGCATCCAGTGCATTTGGCAGTGACCAGGGAAGCACTGCAGCATTCACTGCTGTTCCCAGGGAGAGTTCCTCTAGCAGGCCTGAACACAGTGCTCAGCCGCCCGGGCTAATTAGCGTGCGGCAACACCCTTGGCACTCCTCAGCACCATGCTTTGGTATTCAGTCTGTGGCTTCCCTGTTCCATTTGAATAAGTGAGCTTTGGATAGGGGTGAGATGAGAGGGCAGCTTATTTGGCAGAGATCCACCTGGGCCACATGCAAAGGAAGAACAAGTCTGATCAGAGCAGGACCTCTTAATCAGCCTGTTTGGGAAAATGCGAGCCTTCCATCAAATGTGTGCATTAACAGAAGCTGACATTAGATTTAAATACGATGCATCCAGGTAAATATGTCACGGTGTTTTAGGTATGTGCTGCATTTCTGCAGATTATTTAATGACCATGTTCTGTACCCAATGGTTACTTCTGCCGCTGTGGGTTTGAGACTAAATATTTCCAGCCCACCACGCACTTACCCAGACATTCTGAGCACGGTACTCAAACCTCTCCCTCTCGCTCTCTTACTCTCTCTCTTTCCGCGGCTGTGATGTGACATAACAGGGAAGGTTGGTCTTACATGTGCCAATCCTGTGGTGAGTGTGAGCTTTCAGGGAAAGGGTCAGTCCTAGTGCTGCTTCGCAAATTTATAACAAATTTAAAGTCAAGCGACTAAGAGGAGTCAAGGGAGGATAGGCCTTTCATATCGGAATTCTTTTTCCTGTCTTGGTCAGTCCACATGTCTCAATCGAGCATGTAACAGTGTGTGCTTTGAGCCAAAGTTTACTGAGTTAAGATGTCAATTGCGCACAAACTTTATTGAGATGCATCAGTAGCATTCAATCTAACACTTCAGCACAAGACAGGCTACATTGGTGGTGAATTTGGCTGCATGGCTACCTACTGTACAATACCTTGTGTCGCAGGGTCTGCTGCCTTAGTCACATGTCATATATGATTTCCAAGAGAGGATTCCGTTTGTTATGGAAACCCCAGTCTTGCGCAGTCTCTCTGCCCTGTCCTCTTTGTGATTTTGTGCTTTGTTGGTTTGAGTTTGATCTACTCTCCAGTTATTTAGGCAAGCAAATACAAGCCTGCAAAAAGGGTGGGGTTGATGGCAAGAGGGAGAGGGAGGAATATGGAGGCCCTCCGTGTCAGCCTCAGCTCATGGAGTTATGAAACACAATAAGACACATTATTCATTTCAATATACATGCAATTTGCTTTTTTAACTCCCTATTTAATCATGATTTTTCCGGCAGGAGGTTACGCTGAGCAGCAGGTTGCTTCCAGGTTCTAAAATTTATAAGATAGAAGTAGACAAGAATAAGGTGAACTGGGAACAACCATGAACCAGCCAGATAAAGGGCAGGAGTGACTTTGTAATGCCAGAACTGACTATCAACTTATCTGACCCTAACCCTAACCCTAACCCTAATGAATCAGAGGATGACATCAAGGGACCTTCAAAAGGAAACATTAAGTGGTGTGAAGTGCTCTGCTAGGACAGTTCATGTCAGGCTCCTAGAAGCAGGACTGAAATCCCAGCAAGACAGAAGCCCATCAATAAGAAACAGAGAAGTACCATGCTGCCGTTTGCAAATAAAATTTATTAAAAATTATACATATATATGACTGAAATCCTTAAATAAGAGCTGGCTCCTGTGCGCCTTGCTTCTGGAATTGCTAGCACACCTGAGAAGGACAATCTGAATGGCTCTCCAGACGCGCGTTTCACAGAAGCGCCATCTGCAGGAAAACAGAGGTATATCACAAAGTTTGCACAGATAGAGAGGCATTGTCTTTAGTCTTGGCTTGGTATTGCTTAATCGGTTTTTAAGGAAACAAAAACCTGAACTTGTGAAAACACAGCAAAATTTTTCATCTCCCTTAGGTATTGAAAAATTTTAGGAAAGCACATTAGCAGCTATTTAGCTATTTTATTTAATCTATTTTGTAGTATCAAGAGTATTCTTTAAACATACACATGCGAAGTATGCAACGGGTATTAATATCCCACAGAGTGAGTCACAAGGTCTTTGTGGCTAAACAACAAGACACTCTGTATTTAATTCTGTATTTAACAGCCCATTTTAGCCCATGTTAGGCTGACCTTCATCAGCAAGCTTTTCGGTTTGGTGCAGAAGGCTCCCTCCGTTCTCCTGCGATGCTGACAGCAAACCTCCTGGTTTAGCTAGAGCTCAAGGTAAAGCAGAATACCAGTTATTTCCCATTAGGCAGACCTTGAAACTGCACTCCAGTGCATAAAATTTAGACAAATCCGGAAGCTTTGGGGAAAAAGACTTTCTTACATAGAAAGCACAGAACGGTGTTTAACTATTAACGGTTAATTCATCACACTGCTGGACTGTGTCAGGACGTGGCAGCACTTACACAGAGAAATTTGACAAGGGTTTCATGGACATAAGGCACAGGCACAGAAGGAACAGAAAGAAGAAAACACATAGCAAAGATACGTCTGAATTCTTCATCATCTACCCCTCCCCCAGATCTCCTAACCTCCTAACTCTTGCTGTTTTTTGCTTGGGTGTGGCAAAAGCTTATCAATTTACACTGGCCCCATACCTGTTAAACAGGATGGACGTGTAATTGAGGTGGGAGGAGCTACAGAGTGATCAGGCAGCCGAGGCTCCGCCCCATCCCAGAAAAAACAGATTTAAGGCAGGCAGCTCCAGTTAGTCACACAGAGGGAGTTCACTTTCCTTCTTTGTGAACCTGCTCCTTCTGGTCTTTTCCTCTTTTTTTTTCTCCTTCTGACACCCCACTAAGTTCCAGAGAAAATGACATCAATGAAGACGACCATTAGGACCAGTGGAAGCGTAGCTGGAGGCGGCTATGGTGGTGGCGGCGGCGGCAGCAGGAGACCTTTCTCCAGCCAATCTGCGATCATCTCGGGCGGAAGCCGCATGAGCGGCGCAGCTCGGGCTGGTAGTGTGAGGGGTCTTGGCCAAGGTCTTGGTGGTGGCTCAAGCTACACCTACAGCTTTACTTCTGGCGGTGGTGGTGGCGGTGGTGGAATGGGCTTAGGCGGTGGCCTTGGCTTCGGCGGTGGAGGTGGAGGTGGTGGTTTTGGCAGTGGAGCTGGTTTTGGCGGTGGTTATGGTGGTGGCAGCGGTTTTGGTGGTGGCAGTGGTTTTGGTGGTGGCGGTGGTTTTGGTGGTGGCGGTGGTTTTGGTGGCGGTGGTTTTGGTGGCGGTGGCTTCGGTGGAGCTGGAGGTGGCCCCTTCATTGCCCCCATCACTGCCGTCCAAGTCAACAAGAGCCTGCTGGCCCCCCTCAATCTGGAGATCGACCCCAACATCCAGGTCGTCCGCACTCAGGAGAAGGAGCAGATCAAGACCCTCAACAATCGCTTCGCTTCCTTCATCGATAAGGTCAGTGCTTTTATGCTTCTTTTAGTGCTGTTGCTGAACTATAGGAATCAGCATGCTGTGGGATATAGCAGGTGGACGCAATTTCATTAAGCTCGATTAGCGCCGATTAAATAACTATGCGACGTAGTTGCTGGAGGATGCACTTTGAAGCAGTGCGGCATTAGGTTAGTGCAGTAACTGCGTTAGGTTGCATATGAGCTGTTCACCACTGAGCTCTTGACATTGAATAGGAGTAAGGGAGTCTTTCTTTCAAGCTGCTATCAGTCATTAAAGTTTCAAAACCTGATCCTTGAATGGCAAATCCTTGCGAGACAATGTGCTTGCTAGAGGGAAACTGGATGAGCGTTGTGAGATGCCCAAAAACTTTATCACACCAAACATATTCTTTTTGTAGTATTCAAAGCCACGTTTGCAACATGTTCATGTGAAAAAAAACGGCGCTCCACCTCCTACTGGGTATGCCAAATAGATACAAAGTAATTATCTCAGGGATAGAGTTTGGAAACCCAAACCATTTTCAGGCTGTCACTATCTAAATAAGGGTGGGGATCAGGTTATCATCTGTTCCCCTTCTGCTCTGAGTCACCGGCTTCAGAAGGCCAGAGGTGTGCATTATTACCAAGCTTGCAGACAGGTCAGTGTCTGCCCCCTGCTGGCTGTAAAGTTTTGACTGCATTTCTTACTGAGGTGCCATAGTTTGTCGACGTGATGCTAAAATTTAAGCAAAACCCATATGCAAGAATTTGCCTTCGCCTCTTTAGATGCTTTGCTTAACCTTGACTGGCATTTATGAATGTATTGTTCTCCAATTGCAGTAAAAAAAAAAATACAGTTCCTTAACTACTCCTTGAGCTGTAGACTGCAAAAACGTGGCACTTCCGGAGTATCAAAGACACCAGCAAAAGTGGACAAAAGCAAATAAACCACTAGTATGATATACGAACATCATTGTTCTTTTACAGTTTAACTTTACAGTGCTGTTGGCTAACTTTGGCAAGGTTTAACTAAACAAGATCATTCATAAAACTAAGAGCGCCGGGGGCTAAGGTGTGGTGTAATTACCATTGCAGTGACTACACCTAGGGTTGGGTTCTGGTGCGGCAAGCTGGAACAAGAATGCTCAGTCTCATCCGCTACAGCAAATCCTCCTTGGGTGTTGTCTGAATCTTGCACATGCTCCTTGCCCCAAAATGATTTTTGAAGACAGGGGTTGTGCACAGGGAAAGCTTTAACATGTTCAGAACGCTCTATTAGGTGACTTCACTGAGAAGCAACTTTTTAGCTCTGAAATTGACTGCGTCAGCCCCACCCAAATGGCCTCGACTCAGCAACAGTCTGCTGGAGATACTGCTCCTTCTGCAGTAGCTGCAGACTAGTATGTCTAAACTGAACAAAACTAATAGATATTTTTTAGATATCAAACAGGGCTTCAATGTCACTGTGATCAAGCCTACATTTGTTCACAAGTAATAAAAACCAGGAATGAGGAGGAAGATCCTGGAAATGCTGCGGTTCAGCTCTTTCCCACATTTCTCTCTCTCCCCCAGGTTGGACTTCTGGCTAATACCATTCTGGCTTATACTTTACTACGATACTATTCTCATAACCTTTTTATGTTCATATTTCCTCAGGTGCGGTTCCTGGAGCAGCAGAACAAGATGCTTGAGACCAAGTGGAGCCTTCTTCAGGATCAGACCACCACCACCTCCAATATCGATAGCATGTACGAGGCCTACATCGCTAACCTCCGCAGGCAGCTCGATGGCCTGGGCAACGAGAAGGTCCGGCTAGAGGGTGAACTGAAGAACATGCAGAACCTGGTGGAAGACTTCAAGAACAAGTAAGGAATAACAATCTCTTTGATGCTACAATAAAAGCTCAGTAGAAGTCAAGTGAGCAGGGAGTTTTATCATGTTTTTATTTCAGAAGAGTAATATTATACCATCCATTCAAGATTCTTATCTATCCTTTCTCTGTAGATATGAAGATGAAATCAACAAGCGTGCCACAGTAGAGAATGACTTTGTCCTGCTGAAGAAGGCAAGTAATTTACAGCTACCATGTTTAAATGTCTTTGTTTGTTAGGCAGGCTTGAATAAAACCTAATTTTCCTCAACACTCTTCCAGGATGTTGACGGCGCTTACATGAACAAGGTGGAATTGGAAGCCAAGGTTGACGCCCTTCAGGATGAAATCAATTTCCTCCGGGCTGTCTACGAAGCGGTACGGCCATTTCTGCAGTCTGAACTGCCCAAGTCATTTCTTTTTTCCAGTATAAGCGGGCAACATCTATGTCATCCTTTTCTGCTTTCTATTCTAGGAGCTGCTAGAGCTGCAGGGTCAGATCAAGGACACCTCAGTGGTGGTGGAGATGGACAACAGTCGCAACCTGGACATGGACTCCATCGTGGCTGAAGTGCGCGCCCAGTATGAAGATATCGCCAACCGCAGCCGTGCAGAGGCTGAGTCGTGGTACAAACAGAAGGTGTGTGATTTTGTGAACTTGTCCCATATCACCCGCCCAGATAATTAACATTTAAGCAGCTCACTTACTACTCTGCGCCCTTTTTTCCAGTATGAGGAGATGAAGAGTTCCGCTGGCGTGTATGGAGATGACCTGCGCAACACCAAGGGCGAGATTGCGGAGCTGAACCGCATGATTACCCGCCTGCAGAATGAGATCGAGGCAGTCAAGGGGCAGGTGAGACGTTAACCTCCACATATATTTCCATCAGAAGGAAGACAAATCATGTTTATGCTAGGTGGGAGAGTTGCACAATGTATGTGAGACACTTCAGATTGAGGGAAAACTCAATAGTAAAACTCTAACCTGTGTCATATTCGTTTTGGTTAGCGGGTTAACCTGGAGGGTCAGATTGCGGAAGCTGAGGAGCGTGGAGAGTTAGCAGTGAAGGACGCCAAAGCTCGCATTAAGGACCTAGAGGACGCCCTGCAGAGAGCTAAGCAGGAAATGGCACGCCAGGTGCGTGAGTACCAGGAACTTATGAATGTCAAGCTGGCCCTGGACATTGAGATCGCCACCTACAGGAAGCTGCTGGAAGGAGAGGAGCACAGGTAAGAGAGAAGCATTAGAAATCTTTTAAATACTATTAACATTCTTCAGGTGGCAGACAGCTTAGAATTCACGTCTATTTCTAATCTCCAAAGGATCTCGACTGGAGGTGGAAGTGCCACTATCCATGTACAGCAGTCATCCAGCGGCGGAGGCGGAGGCGGCGGCGGCGGAGGTAAGTGTTCTTCGTACTTGTTGTCTTCTATCAATGCGTAGTCCATTGTCTGCTAAAGCTGGGAGAGTGGACCGTAGACTATATGGTAGTGTAGCACAGTACTGCATAGTAGGTTTTCCCTATAACAAGGTAACCTCTTGGTGTAGATTGCACAGAGGCATGAGGTGAACAGTTTGTGTTAGTGACAGAGACTCAAGTGCATCTACCACGACTTTCTGACCTCTTTCTCTGTTTCAGGATTCAGCCTGGAATCTGCCCTTGGTGGTGGTGGAGGAGGAGGAGGTTATGGCTACGGCCTTGGCGGTGGAGGTGGTGGGGGCTACGGCATGGGCATGGGCGGAGGCGGAGGCGGGGGCTACGGCATGAGCGGGGGCGGAGGCTACAGCATGAGCGGGGGCTCCGGCATTGGAGGAGGCCTCGGCGGCGGAATCGGGAGCAGTAGCTCCACCATCACCAAGTCCAGGATGACCACCTCTTCTTCTGCTAGACACTTCTAGAGAGGAGACCCCCCTATCCCACATCCCTACCTAATGCTAGCCCATGCACATCCATAAATGCAAATTATGTTACTGTTTTTCCCCTTACAAATAACGACAGAGCTTTCACTGGTCTCGAGTGCTAGGAACGTGCATCCTGCCTAGATTTTCACACATGACGGCACATTCTTGGGAAAGAAAATACAAAGAGATGAAAGTCATTTTCTGTGGCTGGAAGCAACTTCGACATCATTTCCTCTTACATTAAGTCAAGGCTGAGAAAAATTCCATAACATGATTTCCTTTCTTAAGTTTTATTTCTTCCTTCATTTCACCAACACAGATCTATGGAAAAAAAAATTAACGAGAGATAAAGCAGGACCAAGGACTGGTAATGAGTGGCAATGAAATATGTCACTGTTCCAAGGTATTTGGAATAGTAAAAGTCAATGCTTGTGCAATAGCAGGGAGTGACAGTGAAATGGTAAGAGAACAACAGCTGTAACACTGATCTCACACTGTGGTGCTGGCCAACCATACTGCAGATGTACCAGAAGCAGCTGTGAGAGGTGTCCTCTGCATGTAGAGAGACCGACACACAGTCGGATGTCATATTTCAGTCCACTTCTGTCCTAGTGCCCCTTGACTCTATGGGGCCTTTCTGTGGCCAAAATGGAAATTCGAGGTGTCTTTTCCCACGAAGGAGGCGGTCTGTGCTGAACTAGCCTTAAGAAATCCAGAGGGCCAAATTCAGTTTTTGCTCGTTCACTTTTTTTTTTTTGCCAGGGACGACACCAGAAAGGGTTGTAAACGGCTTTCTTTTTTTGTTGTATTTTGTTTCTTTGAAATTTGAGCAAAATAAAAAGCTGACTGTCATGACCAGATTTATGCTAAAATAATTGACAATGTAACACCAACATCCTGAATAAATCTGAGTTGTACAATTACATTTTATGGTCTCTAATGTCTTATTTCAGGTTTGAATATGATTTTTTTACTGCTTGAATCAGCTGAAACTGTTACATGTTATATATGTACAGAACTGTGCAGAAGTCTTATGCAGCCAAAGAAAAAGATGTTTAGATGTGCTAAACTCATCCCAGTCTTTTGAGTGACCATCCAATACACCCATGTATTTTTTGACTTAGGTTTTTTTTGTTTTGAGCAAATGTGTACTTACTAACCAGATAAATAACTTTAAACAAATTTTTGACTGTCTAAGACATTTGCATAGTATTGCATATATGACTGTGACCAGAATGAGCAGTTGGAAGATGGATGCATGGATGAATATTTATATAACGAGAAATATAGAATTAACCCATAACAAACAGTAAAATCTTCTGCATTGGTGTGCCAAACTAAGAAGGTATGCTGTTTCCCATTGACTTAGAAGGGAATGCTGTTTCATCACAGCATGGATTCCTCTTTCCCCATACTGGCAAAGACATAAACTGTGTAAAGTAACCAGACAGCAACTCATGCCACAAAGACTGCGACACGGGCCCCCATTCTGACTCACAACTCCAGTTAGGAAAGTCATTCTTCCCACCAATGTGCTGTTCCTAAAACAAACTCATGAAATTAATGGATCTGATTTCTGATTGGTTGGCCCAAATCACAATGTTAAAGAGCATCTTTTCCCAACTTGGGTCACAGTTCAGACAGCCTTGGAAAAAGCTGTTGAGAAATAATTCATCTGTTGACAGGTACAGATACATTTTCTTATGCATATGAGTATTTGCAACCATTCAGTTGTTTTATGTATCTGCTTATCCGGACAGCATCGGAGAGGCAGAGGAGACCCGGGGAATGTCAGTTCACAGCAAGGCGCAGACATAACCTACATAACCAGGCCAGCACAAATATATAGAACTAGGGGACTCAAACCTGCAACCTTTAAGGTGGGAGGCCGTAGTGGTGCCCAAAGTACAATTTCTGCTTCAGTTGTCTTGAAAGGCTTCAAACTGCTGAATAAAACAACTGGCATCTTGGGCTGATTAATCACAACTTAAGCTCTGGATATTTTTAATATGATTCCATTGGTATCAAGCTACATCCCTTGAAACATTTAGAATGAAGCTCATTTTGTATCATCAGTCTTTGCAAGTCCACATGTTTCTGTAACCCCACAATAAAATAACAATAACATATTTGGATGGATTATTTTATAAACAGGTTAGTAGGAAAACAGTTACAGATCCTTTAAAATGACATTTAGCCATTTTGCCTCTTTTATTTCAAATACTTTTCCGCAGTTTCATCACAGTCCTAAAATCTAGCAGCCTTCAAATTAACTGCAGAAGCTGAATTACAACATATGTGTGCAAGTTCAGGGCCACCACATGTATTGCAAGGGCAAACCGGTGACTAGGGACCCTCTGATATTGCATAGGCATCACATAGGTTAGCTTTGACCAGACTTAATGGGATGGTGCCGGCAATAAAATAGCACAAATATAGCAATGGCAAGTTCCCCTTATTGAAGCGTGACTGATATTTGGCTGAGACGGACAGATGACTGAGCAGTAGTATGAGTGAGATATACAGATGTAAGCAGTCGAAACGGGAACCATCTGATGAACCACAACAAGCTGGATGAGCTGCAAGTAGCAACCTGCACAAAACAATGAATGGGCGGCCAGCAGACTGAAAGTCACAAAAGATATCTGCATAAATATTTCAAAGAAGCACTAAAGAACCTATTTGCAACAGAATGAATACTGCATCCCTGGGGGAAATTGGGTTTTCAGTGATCCGATCTTACTCTCCGTGAGACACGGGGACACTTGTACATTGATGAGTGCAAAGGTCACAGCGCAGAGTCGGCCAAGGTCCCTGGAGCGGTCAGGGCCTGTTGCTAACATCTCTCAGCCATCCAGGAGTATCTAACCAGGGATCTTGTGATTAGCGACAGAGGCTGCTAACCTACAAAGCAGCCCAGATGCTGAGAGTGATAGGTAGCTGCCCCCACAGAGCATGGAGCCATAACCCAGAAACCTGATCTGTCTAAATTAAAACAAGAAAACATCATTTTACTAGTGCTATAATATATGACTGCCATATGAGCTGTGTCTGCGTTTTGGAGGAGTGCTGGGGCCCTCCCCAAAGAACTGTGATTAAAAGTGATGCATGCAACAGGAATGTTATTTGCGAGTTGAATAAACTGCAGTTCATGGAGTGTTTTTCACATGCTCCGGTAAAGGATCCAGCTAATGCGTCCGTGCCGAGCAGCAGGAAGCGATAAAGCGGCTTCATAACACTGAGGGCTTGAACTGCCTCCGTCAGGAATTGAACTGCATGTGTGAAACACCGCAGAACTGCATTACGGTTCTGCAGCACCATGTTTTGTGTGGACCTTGCACGTTAAACCTTCACCTGCCGTGAAGTCTGACGGTCTCACTGATAATTAATGATGTTATAATTGTGCTAGTAGTGCTCTTCTCTTCCTGGTTATGGAGCCAAGCCCCTCACTGCATCTACATGATCTCAGTGGCCTTTAGTACCAGGAAGCTCACTCAGAGTATACCATGCAAGGTTACTGGAAGGTACCAGGTTTTCAGTATTGAATATACTATGTATGTACACAGACAGACAGACAGACAGACAGACAGATAGATTTGAGCTACACACACACGCACGCACATGTAGGGTAAACATATCCTTATGGGGACCGCTCATTCATTTCAATGGGAAAAATGCTAACGCTAACTATGACAACCTTAACCCCTACCCTGCCCTAACCATAACCATAAGTAACCAAACAAAATACAAGAGTTTTTGCATTTTTAGTTTTTTCATAGCAGTCACCGTTTTTTATAAAATAGAGTTTTCCCTTGTGGGGACCAGGAAACCGGTCCCCATAAGGGAAAAAAACGGATATTTATCACGTTATGGGGACATTGTGTCCCCATAAGGATAGGTAAACCCGCTCGCACACACACACACACACACACACACACACACACACACACACACACACACACACACACATATTTTATACCATAACATGATTTCCTTTCTTAAATTTTATTTCTTATATATAGCAGAGCTCATTAACATCCCCCTGCATGCTCCATGGACATTGTGAATAGTCCTTTTTTGTGTTATTGTAAATATGTATTTATGCATATATATAATGAATATTGTATGAGACTACAAACAAGAGGGACCGGATAATAATCTTAGTGTGGCAAACTGGGACAAAAACTGTATGTCAAAATAAGAACATAGGAATGCCATGAAAATGGCCCATGTTATCATTTAATCAAGATCAATCATATTATTTATTATATCTGATTAAAATGAGTCCTAAACATCTAGCACAGACCCCAGGGATGATTTGACACTACTTATTTAACTATACTGCCCTCTGCTGTATGAATTGTTACTGTAACAATAAGCACATTCCAGTAATGAAGCCCACTTGACTTCAATAATCCATTTTCTGCACATTACAAAATAGTTCACAATTATTATTGCATTCCTGCATGGAATTCAGCAATTTCCGTCACGAAATTTCAGATGTCTGAGTAATTCAATTAAAATCAGATAAATCATAATGAAATAAATGCTTGATGTTTTTTTAAAAAAATAATTATAAAGTTCTATATTTGCTAAAAAAAAAATCAGCAGATCCATATTGATGGTACTCATGTCATATGGAAACAGTAACTAGTCCAGTAAGTCATCAACAATGTGACCAGTTCAGGATTATGAGGATCCTGGGGGCCCCAGAAAGCAAAGGGCCCCAGCAGGCGGACACCCGGGGGAGGGGCACACACACACACACACTGCTCAACTCAGAGAGACCAGTTAGCCAAAGCTGAATACCTCTGGACTGTGGGAGGACAGTGGGGTACCCAGAGGGGGGCTATGTAACAGGAGTGAGGTGACTGTGCTACCCAGTGGGGTCTGATAAAATATATCATGTCAGAGAAGAACTTACAGTAGTATTGCCTGTATGACTTCTACTAGGTGGGAAAGTGAACAGAATCATAGAACACTTGGAAGAGAGGAGTAACTGGGGGCTTTATTTGGGTACAGAAATGGAGAGGGGCTTTCAGTGTAGGAAGAAATGAAAACAACAGATTCAATTCCATGCCAGCACACGTGGAAAACAGGAAAGCACAATGGAGGCTGGCTGGGTCTTAGACATGCTACAAAGAGGAGTAGGGTTAGGGTTAGGGTTAGGTATAGGGGCTAGGGTAAATTCCTGGGTGTGTATTCTTGGGTCAATGGAAAGAACAAAAACATCATTATATCATCAGTAACAGACAGAGATGAGGCGGCTGATTGTCCATGTCACCTGACTTACCCCGGCCCGCCCAGCTCACAGCACCATACTGACTTTCCACATACACAGATTACAATCTGCCTGCATCTTTTACACTGTTTATTCTGTAAAATGTTCAATATGCACAAAACAAAGATTCTAGATTTAGTTTAGATTAAGTCTGCTATCTTCCTGAGGATGAAGTGAGAAGATTCCAGCACTGTAATTGTTATTTTAAACTGCTTAAAGTTTTATATCTTAAACGATTATATCCAATGAGTGAAGGTTTTGGATTAGAGTTTTACATGTATATTCTTGCTGTTTTATGCTAATCAGAGCTTAGTTTTTCATATCCTAACTGCTCTCTTCCTTGGGAACTCAGACTGTCACACAACACTGGGCCTTGAAATAATATACATCTGTATCAATGTATTACATCAAAGGAAGGCAATCTCAGAAAATCCATGAATGCTGCACTTCTGTAGGCAGAATATCCTCGTCAAATCAGTGAATAGTAACATCAATCTATCTTGGTGCTTCCTATATTGCAGTTGCTCTGGGGTTGTCAGGGTCAAAGGTCATGATCTCCATATGGATGAGGCCTAGGTAAAAAGAAAACATTCTACATTAATGGCGATTAACAAATGTTTGCTAGTTACATTACGTTAAAAAATGATAAATCGTCACATTTTCTTTGAGCTTGTACATCCTTCTTTTTATAAATATACTGAACATTTCAGAAAGCAGCAGGTGCTGGTCTGTAGATGCACTTTGGGACCCATTGGATTCCATGTTATCTATTACATTGTTTCTCAACCGCTGGTTCTGAAGTGGGCTGTGGAACTTTGGCAGGACACCCAATCACTGTCTGGGAAAATTCCCCAGTCCACAAAATTCACAGAGAGGATAGGGATGGCTGATATAAATGATACACTGACTTACCGTCACATGAAATTTAAATAAGAAAATGAGAAATGTCAGTATACGGCTGGTAAGGAATATTGCTTGATATCGCACCTCAGGCAATCATATCACTGAGACGAACGCAATTCCAACCAATCATATGGTAGTCTTTTAAGATGGACAACCTGCACCCAACACGTACAGTATGGTTGATTTATCGGTACACACCACATGCTACTCTTTTGGTAAGATCGTGGAAGAGATAAGCGTTCTCTCAGAGGAAATGTCCGTGTAAGTGAACAAAGCAAAGCAGCCGCCTCGACGCTTTTTAAGAAAGGATATGCTATACCTAAAGAAGGTAAGGAGATGCTGGGGGTGTGGTAATGCTTTTTCAGTTTAAGGTCCGACATGCAACAGCTAGGAAAAGAACACCTCCCTGACTAAACGGTAAATACTGCGAATTTATTTCACCACCTGAAGCTTCGTCATCCAGCAGAACATACAGAACGGACGGGTTTACAGTCACCAACAGCAGGAATTAGGGTTTCCACCTTCGATCTCAAGGAATAAGGGACAAATCGCATTCCATGCTGGTTAAAAATGGGACATGATTTATTTTTCATTATGGGATGGGTGACAACTCTACCAGCCAAACCTGCCCTTGGAACCATCAGCGAGGCAGTCAGAGAAAAAACCCGGCAACTAACCGTACTGTTGCTGTTTTATAGTGTTACATCCTATGACAAAAGTTCTTATTTATTTATTTATTAATTTATTAATTTATTTTTGTTTGTTTGGTCGGTTATTTTTTTATTTTTTTTTTAAATTAGATTTCAGTTTGCAGAACATTTAATTTGTTCTGAATCTGTTTAAGGTCAACTCTAAGGGAAATTAAAATAAAAAAAAACAATGATGTCTGAATTATACCGCGATAATGACCCATATCAGGTCGCCGACATGATACATGATGAAAAGCCGGCCGCGTGGTAGGAAAAGTTGAGAAACACTTATCTATTATGAGGTCTTCATTTTATTAAGGGTTTCACTTCAGACATGCACAGTACAATGTTCATGTACAATGTAAAGGGGCGCTTTAATGCACAGGCTAATCAGGGCTAAAGCCCAGGAGCCTCCACTAAATAAGGGTTTCAACTAACCTTGTTTAATAAAACAAGGCCTATAACCGGACCATTGTAGAAAATAAGGGGGGCTCTGACCATGCCGGTGTGCCTTTGGCGATGCATGCTGCCACATGTGAAAAGTAAACTGGAAACTTGTCGTGGCATCAGACCAACACTGAAATACTCACTCTTCCACTCGCCCACGACCAACTCCATGCTCTCAAAAGAGTCGTCATAGGGCGGAGACTCCGGTTCTGCATCCGGATCATGGAATTCTTCTACGAAGGGGTGAGAGAGACCTTCAGAGGCGATGATTCTCTTCTCAGGGTCCAGGACCAGCATGGCCTCCAGCATAGCCAGCGCTGTGACCCCCAGACAAGGGGGGACGGGTCCCAGTAAAAGAAGATGGAACAGAGATGGACAGAGAAAGTATAAATATTAATATGAGACCTATGAACTACCAAAATATTCTAGTCCACAATGATTCAATAAAAAGTGCAAATATTAACGGACACATTCAGAAATGCATTCAACATTCTCAGATCAGCCATAGGAAGCCATGTTCCAATTCTCAGTTGTGGGGGGGGGGGCTGCTATCTACCTCAGGCAGCACAGAGAGGATACAAGTAAGCACCATGGATGGGATGTCAGCCCATCCCATGACACACTCAAGCACACACTCGCTCACTATGCACTACCCAGAAATGCCTATTCACCTAAGTGTATGTCTTTGGGCTGTGGGAAAACATTCACATAATATGGGAAAACACAAACCCCACATACAGAGAGTAGGGGTGAAATAACATGACAGTATCACCCATTGAGCTTCTGTGCTGGCAGTCGTGGAGAACCCTTTTATATTATGCCATCTTTCAGCAAAAGCCTGACCCAGGAATTCCATCGAGAGTGGCTGCACCGCATTCCGACTGTGGTGAAGTTTTGCTCCATCCCCTGCATGTCCTCAACCCCCCCACTGGAAGTGGTTCAGAAATGTTTTAGAAGCAGAGCACTTTGCAATAGTGATGCCCAAGTGAAGCATCTTGAACCACTTGCTGCATTTTCTGAGCCCACTAGATGGCGCTCTTTGTTCAAAAAAGGGCTTGCATGCCCCAAAAGCAAAACAAGACCACCGCCTAGTGAGGTAAAAAAATACAGCAATGATTCATGAAGCTTCATTTGGCCCTTACCACTTCGCGGGGTGGATTGGAAGAGTCATGAATATTCATACGGAAAGTGTTACCTGATTGGCAGATAAAAGTGCTATCAGAAGCATCCCAGAAGTAGCATCTGGCAAAACAGACTTGGCGCATATGTTTAGCAAAGTGGCCCGGAGAGCTGCTGCTGGGAAACTTCTGATCCATGCCGTGACAGTTCTGGTGGAATCATGAGCTTTGACTGGTGTGGAAGCGATCAGCAGCAGCAATCAGCAGCAGCGATCAGCAGCAGCGATCAGCAGCAGCGATCAGCAGCAGCGATCAGCAGCAGCGACTGCACTGCAACCAGAATGCAGCTCAACCACTCCTGGTGGAATTCCGGCTTAAGAGAGTAATGCATACCATTTCTATCCATGGAGGGGTACACGTCCCTGAAGTTCTTTTTCTTCTTAGGAGGGAGAGACTGCACGTAAGAGCGAGCCTGTGGGAAACAGAGTAACTGTCTGTCTAGCTGAAAACAGCTTAGCAATTGCTACTGTATAACGTGACATTGCAATGGGCACGCACGTAATTGTCGCATCATGAAAGGATGCCATGCAAGGGTACAGGTTTGGTTTTAGCTTCTGTAGATAGCAAATTATCCCCGAACCCCCCGCTCCCCTAAACACACATTGCACTCCCACAATACTGGTATGAACACGTCCCCACCATCCTTACTCAAATCTACGCCCTTGATGCGATGTAAGAAAGATTTTTAAGCAATTTTAAAATAATGAAGATTTCATAATTTAAAATAAGACAAAAACCGTTTAGGGTGCCATTTCAGTGAACATAAATGCAAGAAATGAGTGATCCATATGATAAAATGATTTTGTCGGATATAGAACTACAATCAGCGCCAGGTCTACAGTATGTTTCATCCTTGTGTTCTGCATGTCCAGCAAATTGGCCTCAATAACATATGGATTCATAATGAAAGATAAGGAACAGGCCTTATCAGCTTCATCTTCATCATGACAGAAACACATTAAACAGCACAAGAACCCAAAAATACATGATTTTGCCGGTACTTTTCAGCCTTAAATAGGTGAATGCTGTAGAGGGTGTAGGTCAGGCTGAAGCTTCATGAGGAGCAAAATGTGATTCTGACTGAGAAGTAAGAGTGACAGGATGGGGGGTCCCTCTCTTCCGCCCCCCCTGTTTCCAACACCCCTGCTCAGAAATGAAAGGTCTCTGAGAGCCTTGCGCATATGAGTGAGGGTGCAGCGCGGCCCAGCCTGTACATCGGCACTCTGCATCTTCTGCACCAAGGCTGGCTGAGGAGTCCCCGTCAGACTGAGGATTTTCTGTAGCTGGTCAAGACCTGAGTTAGAAGTCAAGGAAACTTTAAGGCCAAGATGACAAGATAACATATTTTCCAGTGGCTAATGGTTCTCAGCTTTTGTGTTCTTGAGATGTCTGTCTGTGTAAAGTGCTCGGGTGAGTATTCTATTTATGACAGTGTATAATGGTTCGATACACTACAGTACAGAAGCATGGGTAGGCATTGAAGAATAGTTGCTAAAATATGGGATAGCAAATTGCTAATATGGTGCAGAATAGATTAAAATACAGTTAAACTATTTAAGTGAAATATATTCAATTTCTAATATATGATATACTGCACTGGAGTTTTATATGGGGAGGAACTGTAGGATACTGTCATTTCCTGGGAAAAGAACCTGGCCTGTGATCATCTCAGCCAGGATGCAGCCAGCTGACCACACATCCACTGCAGGGGAGACACATACACGTATCTAAGCATGTAACAGAGAAAGGGGTCACATCACTAAGACACAATGCTGCTCAGGCACACAGCAAGAGACATGTAACCGAGAACGGGGTCACATCACTAAGACACAATGCTGCTCAGGCACACAGCAAGAGACATGTAACAGAGAACGGGGTCACATCCCTGACACACAATGCTGCTCAGGCACACAGCAAGAGACATGTAACAGAGAACGGGGTCACATCCCTGACACACAATGCTGCTCAGGCACATGGCAAGAAACATGTAACTGAGAAACAACACATCAGTAAGATGCGTGTCACAACAGAAGCAAGATTCTTAGAGAAGCAACACATCACTAAGACAGAAATGAGTTCCAAAGACACAACACATCACTGAGATGTCACCAAGAAACAACACATTACTTATAAACATGCTAGACAAAAATGAGAAGGGCCATGAGAAGACTGCTCAACCAACTGCATGCATACCAGTAACTATTATATGAGAGAGAGCCCCTAGTATATGGTTCCTTTCATTGTACCGGGTTTACGATGACACAGTTCTGCAGCCTGGGTCCACAGTTCTCACCTGTCTGGGTGTAATGCATCCAGTTAAAGATGACCTCTGGTGCCCTGTACCATCGTGTCACAACATAGCCTGTCATCTCACTCTCCGTGTGTCTTGCCAGTCCAAAGTCCAGAATCTTGAACAGTGACATAGGAGAGAGTTGTACATCCATGTAAAGCGCCCTGGGGTGATATTGTTCTGAAAGGTGCTATACAAATAAATACATTAAACTGAAGAGTTACATCAGAGTGAAGATGATGGAAAAGAAAGACATTTAGGGTGGCAGGGTGTGGACGTTCCAGGGTGCCCAAAAGTTAATACATTCAATTTACCTGTGTCGTATGAATTATCATATATCAGTGGGTTCTGTTTGAAATCCTAAACCAGAATTCACTCCCAGAACTTCATCCTAAAACCCATACCCTGTCTTGACCATTTTTACAACCCATTTTTTTTCCTTGTGTGTTTGTGTTAATGCCAAAATGGCTGTTTTCTGTTTTCGTCTCTCTCCACTGTTTCATTAAGTCTCTACTTGCTCCTCCCATCTCCATTTGACAAGGTTTTCTTCAATATCTTGCCTGGAGCAAGTCTTGCAAGGTGAAAGAAAATGCATACTACAGTTCTAGTGTGTAATAGCCGTAATGCATAGCAGTGGGATTACTGCTGCCTTAGTAATGACACTACATACATGCGCATGTATATAAGGCCTTTTAAACAGTAACACACAAAACTATGATTTGTGCTAACTAGTTATGCATAATGATGAAAGTTTTTTCAAAGAAACTCTCAAAAACACACAACAACACATTTTAAGTAACAATGGGGCAGGCTAAATCATCTTGCGGTTGTGGTTTCACAAACATCTGAATGCAACTTTAATATTTCTGGCACTTTGTAGAGTTACAATCTGCGTTGCTTTCATTTCCTCTATTGAATGAAGTTCACAAAGGTTCCACCAGGGAGAGACAGTGAGCACATTTAAAGCAACTTCCAAACTCAAGACTTCGCAAAATGTTTACCGACAAACACAGCAGACCTCCTCTGGTGCTTCACTTCTCTCAGCAGGGCATTCCTCTGCCACATCACCCCCTGCCTTAGCTTGCTGACCATCCATCTGTCAAGTTTGTATCATATCAACATATCGACACTGTTAAATTGGAGTGGTTTCACCGCTAGCTCCTTGAGGAAGGCCCTTAATCCAGGGACTGACCGGCCCTGCTTTCTCAACTGTGCATCGTTTTGGATAAAAGCATCTGCTATACAAACATATGTAAATGGAAGTCTTTTTAGGCTGACTTAAAAGCATAAACACAGACTCACACGCATATATATATGTATGAAGTTGCTTAATTGCTTCGCCAAGACTTTAATTTAGTCTCTGCCTTTGAACATAATGATAGGAACACTTGCTCTCTTATGTTTGTTCTCAGGATCACAGTATAATTTAGGAAATGTGGGCACTTTCAGGATGCAGGTGGCCAGATGGCAGAAAAGAGTTAACCTACTACAAGGAATACGTTAATCTTTTTTCCATTTAAGGCCATGGTTGAGTGAGACAAGATACAGTTGATTACAGTAAAGTGAGAACAGAACTGGCCTTTCTTATTAAATTCTTTCAATCGTTCGTTATGAAATAAAATCCATAAATTGCTTTCTATTATTATATAAAAATATCCATTTTAATTTTCAAGAGCTGATCAGTTAAACACATTTTATTTTCCTTACATTCCATAAGCTGTATACAAAATAAGATGCTATGCTTTATCCATCCATCTTACACTAATCCCGGTCAGGGTGGTCTGGAGCCCATCCCATGCAGCCCAGGGCGCAAGGCGGGGTAGACCTTGGGTAGGATGTCAGCCCATCATGGGACACACACACACCATGTAGAGATGCCAATTAGTCCAAGTGTCTTGGGGAAGCCCATGTGACACAGAGAAAAGATGTAAAGTCCACACACACAGCAGAGGTGGGATTCAGGCTCCCAACCCTAAGGCAGTTCCCAGGTGACGAATGGGATCCACTCCCTCAGTCTGTCTTTATGTTAAATTCGTAGGTAAGTCGGAACTAATAGGTACCTACAGGTCAATTCCGGGAAGCTACAGTTATGCTCACCAATATAGTTCCCTTGGTTTGGTTTTACCAGCAGTGACATAGATATTCATAATGTATTTAGGCAAAACATTCTGCAACAACTTTAAAATTACTGCCATTGGGGAAAAAAAATTCAGCTGGTTTTCCTGAAGGAAACTTCTTACCTTTAGTTCACAGTTCTCATTCACAGCCAAGTTACTGGGCTTCAGGTCCTGAAATCATAAATTCTCATTTTTACTTTAATAACATCTACACTTACTGTAACATCCCATAATACACTTCACTGGAAGCACAACAAACATGAAAAACAGTTTTGGCAACTATGTAAAAGCATGTGCATACCATTTTCTTATTTTCATTCCACTTCAGAAAACCAGCAAATTAGTCTAATGGACTAATTAGAAATGATTAATCTTTACTTTTAAATAACTGCAACATAAATAAGTAAATGTTATAAAATAGTTATTTTATAACATTGACATGAGAATCGGGGGGGATTCAAAAGCAGCACATTTTTGCATAGTCTGGATCTCCAAGGCTAGGAACAGAGATCCTGCATCTACAGCAGCATAACTCAAGATAATCCTCAAAGAAGCCTCTCTATAGCATTGCTACCAGAGAAGTTGCAACCTCCATCTCCACAATGACCAATTAAATTAACTGTAGAGAGTTAGTAATTTAAGGGGTACATATTCTTTGGATCAAGAATTCAATGAGGAGTGACTGATACAGTGGGGTCTAGTGTGAATACAAGGTGGCAAAGGGACAGTCATGTATACTCACCCTGTGGATAATCCCTGCAGAATGGATATACTAAAGGGACAAAGCAGAGTGATGACGATTAAACATCATTAAAGTACTTTTAATGTGAACAAAGATATCAGGCGCAGGGCTTCGTGCCTTCAGTCCCCGTAGGATCTGGTAGAAGAGGTAGGTGCTGATGTGATCCGTCAGCTTCTTCCTCTTCATGATGTGACTCAAGTCCTGAGCCACAAATGGCATCACCATGTAGCTGGGGCACACAGAGAGTAACTGAGGGCTGCGGCAAGGGCCTCCCAATCTCATACTCCACACCCACCCATACACACTCTGTAGTTAGGGTTAGCGTTCACTGCAGTATTTCACTGGTGAGGATACTGTGTGAGTATATCCCCCCCTAACAGGAGACTCTCAATGTTACTCAAAAACTACTTTACTTATATCATGCATACAAATAACTAAAAAGAACACTCTCGTGCATATTTCCTCATAGAGTATGCGCACATACACATACAGTACAGTTTGAGTTGTCTGGTGGCTACATTGTTGGAAGTGAATAGGTATAAGATCGAGGTCTTTTTTTATGCTACTTCAGCGCAGCCAAACAAGTTTTGCCAGAAAAAAAAAAGAGTAATCATGCGTGTACCCCCATTGCTGAGGGAAACGGGGCCCTGAAGCTGGAGTACAAATTAACTGAGAGCAACACATGGGTAAATCAGGATCTGAGTGCAAGAGTCATCCCAACCATCGGTAACGTGTTGCTGAGCCCCCCATTCCACCTGTTTGGACAAGTCGAGGATTCCAGCTATGAAATGCGCTGGATCTCGCAGCTTCCTGATTCTACTCACAAAGTCTGGAATTTCTCCAGTGAGGAATCAGGTGTAAAGACATTCAGAAGGCAGATGACCTAAAGGATCAAGAAGAGTTAATGTCAAGCAGAGGGAGAGACACAGCAAATTTAGCTTTAGATTTTAGCTACCTGATGAGGTACCTTTAGCTACCTCTTTCCTGTATTTTTGTCAAATATATCTGATCTGTATTATTATGCTGTGGTATAATAGCTGTTGTCTTAGCTCATCTGAAACATACATAATGATGGAGCTTGTGGTCTATTCCCGTACATAAATAAACGGGTTCCGTGAGACAGGTGTAATTAGGAGTGTTCTTATAAATTGCCAGTGTTTCAGCCTATTGGCATCTATCTAAAATAATTAAATTGTCCTAACATGACAGGTCGCATCATGTCGATCGGCTTCAAAGTTAAGCAATATTACAGAGAACAACATTTCGGGTGAGGGGGAGGACAGAGAAGCTGAGACAGCTGGCGAGTGTGAGAGAAGCGCCGGCTTCTGCGTACGTTGTCGTGCTGAATGTGGCGCAGCAGCCGCAGTTCGCGGTACGCCCGCTTGGCGAGGATCAGCGACTGGAACGGCCGATAGAGCTTCTTTATTGCCACCTTTTCCTTCGTATTTTGGTCAACTGCGCAACTTTAAAGAAAGAAGATGACCAACATGGTTAAAAAAAGCAACGCCACTTAAAACAAGTTACTGAGATAATCTAACCATTTGTTACACAGCGAAATCAATATTATTTTTCCAACATACCCAACTATGCACCTTACTATATAATACAAGTCCACAGTGAATTCTTAAAGATGCGCACATTACTCGAATCAGTGTTCATTTGTCGGCCATGTATTTTCGGGTAGAGATACAGACTGGTAAATCGGCGTAGCCTTAAGCAAAATGGGAGATTGCAGGTATGTGTCTTATCTTGGGACTAGTCTGAACTTGAAAACTTCACAAGGCAAACAGGAAAATTCCCGTATCACGCATGTTAAAATATTCAGTTTTGACCAGAACGCCGTACCATAATCGCATATATCTAGCAAATGGTCCAGTGATACATTATATATCCAGCTGTATCAAAACATTATGAAATGATGTGCAAAGAATTTTAGGAGTATTCCACCGAGCTGATTACAATATGTTGACCTTAAGAAGGACATTTCTGTAGGTTAAGGAGACCCTATAACAGGCGTCAGTGTAACAGCAGTAGGATTTTTGCAACAATGTCATTTTAAAAGGCCAGTCAAGCCGCAAGTCTCATGATGGGATCCGGCGCTTTCTCACCATACGGTCCCATAAGCCCCCGATCCCACGGCTCTCAGCGCTGCGTATCTCTCCGGGACATCCCAAGTGGTTTTCTGGATCTCCTGTCTGTAGAAGCCGGGCTTCACGGGAGACGCCATTCGATCTCCTTCCCTTTCCAGCGCCCGAAAGTTTTACTTTCCGTAAGACCTGCACCCAGGTAAGCGCCTCGAAGTGAGGAAACGCCCACTTCACAGAAAGTACCTGGTGATCCCTGACGCCGGAAACGCTCCATCCTTGTCCCTGTCATCGAAAACAGCGACAATATTTGCATAGACAAACTAGAACTATTTTTGCTGTTACAAAAGTGTGTCTTTTCGAAACAGGACATTACTTTATGGGTCATTCCTCGCCAAATCACATATAGAACCTTTTACTGAACTGCGCGCTGATCGTCGCTGCGCTGTCTTCGTTTCTGCCACTAATATGTCTTATTGAATTGTCTTGCAATGTTTGCACGTTTGCACACACATGCACTTTATGTCGTTCTCTGTAGTTTTTGTAGTCCTGGTTTTATGTAGCGCCATGGTCCTGGAGAAACGTCGTTTCGTTTCACTGTGTACTACACCAACCATATATGGGTGAATTGACAATAAAAATCCATTTGACTTGACTTGTAGGTCATGTCATGGATTTTTATGACAAAAATCTATAAAATTTATTTAAGTAATAAAGCTGCGCAAACTCTGAAAACTGTCCACCCAATAGTATTTCTGTGAAAAATGTTTAAAGTTAAGAAATTAGTAATTTTTTTCTATTCTGAACTTATGACTTATATTTAAGCTCACCAATGGCTCAAATCATAATGAATTTAACTGAAATTTATGCTAAGTTTAAATAAGAACCTTTTACACGATGCCTGCTGAATTACATTTGATTGGTGCTCTTGAATTTATGATGTTGTTAAATGAACTTGAACAGGTCATGTTTCATATATGAGTGTGAAAACACCATTAAAAAAATAAAAAAATAAAAAATATTTTAAAAAAATAGAAATCTGTCTCCACAATTTAATAATTATTACATTGTGGAGACAGATTTTTATTCAGATATGCCATTATTTTGATATGTCCCATGTCGCCCTCTTCAGTCAGCAAGTTCTGTTTGTGAATTGCCTAATTTCATAAAAAATATTCCATTATGAAGGAGAAACAGCACATCCTTGATGTTTTATATGTGTAATATGGTTCCTGGTACTTATAAAAAGGTTTGATGGAAATAGCATTAACGCCTTTTGAGAAAATTTAGGTCAAAAGTCAACCAAAAATGGCTTTTTGTTATTCTAGTGGAATTTTCAAGGCACCAGAAAATTGACAGATCTGTGTAAGCAGGACAGGTTTTCAAAATCTGGGAAAGAAATAATAAAAAATGCCTGTCGGCGATTTTTCAGGGGCCAAGCCCGGTGTATGGATTACTCTTCCACAGTAAAAAACATGAGATCCAGTGAACTGGTTGTCTCTAAATTACCCATATTGTGTGACTGCGTGACATTGTATGCATGTATCTGTCCCTGCGACAGGCTGGCGTCCTGCCTAGGGTGCTCTCTGGTTTACGCCGGTATTTCCTGGGATAGATTCCAGGTCTTCTGCAATCCAAAACAGATTATATGCCTCATCTATTTGCAGACAAGCACTATAATACCTCTTGATGAGAACTGTATTCTATTCATTATTTAGTCTGATTGATTACAATCACCCAGACGGAATGGGAGCAAAACTGGGAGTAAAACTGGGAGCAAAACTGAGGAACAACCACAATGACCGATTAACGAACAGAACAAAGAAAAGCACTTAAATACATTGATAACAAGGGCTAACAGGGGACAGGTGTGGGGTATAAGAACTAGGTGCAATGAGGAGCAGGTGAGGTTAATTAACAGATACAGAAAAGGTTCAAACATCAAGGAAAACTAAAACTAAACAGAAAACTAAACGAACAGAAAACATGGAGTAAAGACCAACAAACATTTAATAACAACTAGCAGAGGCCAGCCATGAACATTAAGCCACATGTTGGCCTGGGAGCAGGTAAACACACTAGGGATAAGGGGCTACAAGACAGAGGGAACAGGATGGCCAGTGACACCTGCTGGCCACTTGGGGACAAATAGGGGAGGACAGGACAAACAACAGTACAAGGCATAATAATGGTATCTGGTTTAAGGTGGTTCTTGATCCAACAGGCATTTTGACTGTAATGCCGAGAGGGCGGGACCAAGTAGACGTAGCCAAGTAACTATCTGTCGCTCCACTATTTAAAGTGGACGGAACATTGCAGTATTGCGAAGTATTGTTGCCATGTATTGGAGCTATGCCGAGCGTTTCTTTGTCTTGTGTCTCCCCCGCTTGTCTCGCCTGCCCTGCCTGTCTCACCCGTCCTGCCAGTCTCGCCTGCCCTGCCTCCCTCGCCCCGCCTGCCCCGTCCCGATCTCCCGATCTTCCCTCCTGGATCCACCCGGCTTGTCGTCTCCCCGTCTCGTCACTACCTGTAGGACTGACCTTCCCGGATACTGGACCCTGGCGACCTCCCCGACTACTCTCTTTGATCATCCCATCTGGCTTTGGTGTTTTTGGTTGTGGCAATAAAGGCCGGTTGTACCGCATCTTGGGGTCCACTCCTGCTCTGTCCGCTTGGCATGACATTGACATTGACAAGATAAATTACTGTGAATATTACAGAACATGCTTTATGTCTACAGTTGTCTATAGTGTAAAAACTCCAAGTTTGGAGGGCTTTACTTTAGAAACAGTAAAATACCTTCAAACTCAGGCTATAGTAAGTGTAATAGTGTAGGTATTGAGCTTTCTAGCAGACATATGACAATAATTTGTCACCAATTGGGGGTTCTACCAAAGCAACATCCCCTATTTAAGATGGAACGTGTCCTGAGAACAAGAAGTTGGCAAATAAGTAGTCTGACTTCAGCCTCGTGAAACATTTCAACACTGAAAAAAAGTTGAAAAGTTCAAACTCTAGCTGTTTTATGTGAAACTTTAGTTGAAATGAACTGATTGCATTAACATGAATAAAGCTCAGTTATTTTTTACCAGTCTGTAATGTCTGAGCTTCTTTGAGAGATGTGATTATGCAGCTATGCTGGTAGCACCAAAGGTGAAGTTTGTAAGTATATTTAAACATTATAGCCATTATCAGGTCCCTGCCCATTTCTTCTGTATTGAGCACGTAATGAATGAGTACTGTAATGAGTACTGTAATGAGTACTGAATGTTGGATTACCATTTAATATATCCAACACCTTGACTGTTTTAACAAGACAGTCAATGTTATTCATGTTATGTGGGGTGTTCATAATGTTTTGGCTCATTGGAGTACACTGGCTATTATAGCAATGACTACAGCACACTTGCTTCCATACAATTAGCACAATAATTACAAATATTTGATGTTGCGGTGCTGCCTCTGTAGAATCCCAAAACATTTACCCTCATTCTCTTCAGGGTAATCCTCTACTATGAGACCTGTCATACTTGGGGCTGGCCGCAGCCTTACTGTGACTCTGTAGTTGATAAACAAAATGAAAGATGGATAGATAGACTTTTTCTGATCCCATGATTATTATTTTATTTTTTTTATCATTTATTCTGAACAATTTCAAATCTTGTATCAGGAACATTGTCCTTATGGGCCACTATGTCCATTCACAACGTTTAGCCCAGGGGTGGGCAATCTTACCCAGAAAGGGCTATTGTGTATGCAGGTTTTCACTGCAACTTCCTAATTAGATTACTAATTAGAGGACTGATTGGCTGGAGAGTCCTCACACCTGGATTTGAACAGCTGCCCTAAACGTTACCCCCAAAACCTGCATACACACTGGTCCTTATTAGAGTCAGCAACAAACTTCTTTAGGTTTATCTGCAAAAACAAATGAATAATTATCCTTCATGTAGTTTGTGGTTGTTACGGCGCGTACAAACAGGCAGGAAGCCAGGGATCAGGAACACGGGGTTTAATTAAAGCACAACACAAAGCACGCAATGATACAACATCAATGACCGGACTGGGGATACTAACACAGACATGGACTAAATACAATGAACTAATGACAACAATCAGAAACAGCTGTAAAACACTGGGATTCCACATGAGGTTGACGAGGGGGCGTGGCACACGTTAGGATCGGACGGAGCGGGGCGTGACAGTGGTACTGATCATGCCATTAATTGTGTATAAGGCTGCACAACTAAATTTGCTCTATGGGCTACACAATACAGTAAAATTTTTCTTACATTCTCTTGTATATTCAGTGCAACAGCTTCTGGTTAATTCTGGCTACCAATCTTCAGATGATAGAAAAGATGTGTCAGTGTGGAATGACCATTATGTGGTAAAAATTAAAACTCATTAAAACTTGCTTAAAAGTGGTTGAACAGTTATTATATAATATATAGTATTTACTCACATTTGTGTTTTTTCAGATCCAGTCGTTTATCTAAATGATATTCTTGCTTGATCAGGTATGTGTTCATGATTGTGGATGACACTACAAGTTACTGGTGAAATGAAGTTTACCTGATATTGCCTGATATCCATGCTGTATGTGCAGTATTGATGATTATAATAGATTTTTTTCTATAACAATGTTTAGAGATAACTCAACGCAAACCCCCCCATTTTAAATGCTGATCTAGGGTGACTGTGGTAGCAGGTGGGCTAATCCAAGGTATGTACAGTATGGACCTGACTGACGACGACGATGATGATGATGATGATGATGATGATGGCTTGGCAGCTGCCTCCTGTTCATTACTTCCTGTGACATCCATTTGTCTTTACAGATATAGACAGAGTCTACAGTTCTTCTGCTGGTGCTGGCAGAATGAATCAAGAACCCCTTTAAACCAGATACCAAGATCTACTCAAGAATCTAGAAGATTGCAGAAGTTTTCCTGCCATGTCCATACGGCTGTCCTGTACTGTGCATGCACACTGAGGTGACATAACACTTGCTGGCTACGCTGCATTCCTTCTTTTCTTACTTTGATGTTTTATTTGTCTGAATATGCGTCTTCTAGTCCAGGCACATGTCACCTCGCGACTAGACTATTGAAGCTCTCCTCCAGTAGCTTTACCAGTTTGTTCTGTCAGACCTCTGCAGATGATTTGAAAGAAGGCAGCACATGTGATATTCAATCAGCCGAAATGCTCTCATGTTACGCCCCTCCTGGTCTCTCTTCA